ATTAATTTGGGTGATAAAAGTATATAAAAATGTACGGCTATGTTGAAGCATTTAATTATTCTTATAGGTAACAGCGAGTGTTGGTTGGATTACCAGTTGTGGAATTAAAGCCTAGTTCCTCTAAAATGCAGTTGAAATATTTTATGACTATTTAGCATAACAAATGGTTTCAATTTCGAAATATAAAAAAAAATTAAAAACCTGATTATTTCAAATTGGGTAAAATAAATAAGCAAGAAAATGAACACAAAATAAATAAAATCAAGTAACTCGTTTAAAAATAGTTTATTGGTCGTTGATTATTACAATGAAAATACAATGAGAATATAGTGCCACTAAAACCACAAGAATAACAACAATTTTTTATCAAATGATAGAGATTTTTTTAAGCAATGCAGTATAAACTGTTTAAATTATTTAATAAACAATGCTTTAAAACGAGATATGAGAAAAAGCAGATGGTCAAGGGGAGAAACTCTAATTTACATATTCAATAGGCACATTTGTGTCATGACTTAAGACAATAATCACATTCCATTTTTACAAAATTATCATCTTTGTAAAGCATTTCCAACACAATTGATTCAAGATTGATTTATTGATTAATTAATTGATTGAATGTCGTTTAATATCCCATTCGAGAATTTTTCACTCATAGAGAAACGTCACTGTATGCCGGTGAAGGGCATTTAATTTTGACTTATACTCACGCTTAGGGCCATTGAGCAGTGAGGGTTCTTTATCGTGACATGGAACCTTGGTTTTTAAGGTTTCGTCCAAAAGACCAGTGACTTTCACTTCTAGTGTTGGGCGCTTGGCGAAGGAATAGTCACTACCTATGTTTACATCTTAGGTTTGATGAGGCGCAGCGAACGAGAATCGAACCCTGGCCTCCCGATCACGAAACGAGCGCCCTACCGTGACCGGTATAATTAATTAAAGAAGGCATGAATTTATAATGTTAATTACATAAACCTTCTTTCAGGTATCATGTATACCTATTCTATGGACAAATATATTGCTTCACCTTACGTTATTATTGTAAATTAATTATAACTTGTAATTCAAAATAAATAAATTGTTAAAGATAGCTTTTTATTCCCCTTTCCAGCGTCCCACATGACTTTAAAGCAGTGTATTAAGTATTAGTTACAACAGAATTTCAGCGAGTAAAGTGATTCAAAAAGTACGTTTGAAAGAATGTCCGTCCCCCAGTTTCTTATTTCATCCTACACTCTAAATATTGATACTAAATGCAGTAGATATTAATGAATAATAAGGGATGCTTGTACCGCATAAAGTAACACGCTTATCGAGACAATCAGGTTTCTTTTAAAAACTCTGAGATCCAAACGGTAAAATCTTGGTGATGTGAAACATGACATAGAATCATCGGAGGAATTTGGTATTTAGAAAAAAATACATCTTGAATTCAGTAAAAGGTTTACAAGATGACGATACATTTAGGGGGAACCATGTCGCAGTGTATGAGAGGAGGGGCTTGATGCATAATAGTTTGTGATAATTAAAATTGATAAGTTTGTAATTAATCCCTTACATTGGAGACTTTTACATTTGCAATGTAATCATAATCAACTCCATTTTTATGAAGATATGATCCGTAACGTTATATTCACCATATGTACATGTATATCCTTTGGAAAAAAATCTATTCCCATCTCATGGTGTTTGCCTTGTCAAAATAGATCCCGATCATCGTTATTTGGTTGTACAATTAGATTCGATTAGTCGCGCTTCATTGTGATTGCAATGCAATCTAATACAATGACAACAATAAAAATTTAATCATGTTGATCGCAGAAAAAAATTAACAAGTCAATAACTTTCTACGATCAAAGTAATTACCACAACTGACCCTGACTTGCTGTGGTTTTCAACTCGTCATTCAGATATATCGATCTTGTTATATAAAGTAACAAAAATACTTCCATTCATATGTCGACTCCATATATCTCAGTGAATTTGAAATAAAAGACACAACACACTGTGCTACATCTGTTTCATATTTGGATGTTTGGATGTCGACTATAGACGAAAAAGGGCCGACTTATAACTTAATTGTATGACACATTCTGTGGTCGATGCAATGAACTTGTCAGCAAATACAAATACAATCTATCATGATGTCGAATGTTGACTTTCTTTTTTCATACAAATTGTTAGACCTTTATCTTCACACTGAATTGTCTATGTATTTTTCCGTTCGCCCGATCATGACATAAAGAACATGGCAGATGTGACGGTCGACAGGGGATGCTTACTACTCTATGACACCTGATCCAAAATTCAGCAAACTTATCTTTTTATCATTTAGCAGGGGATACTCACTCCTCCATGGCACCTGATCCCACCTCTGATGTTTTTGGAGGGCTGTGTTTGCTTTGTTCACAGGTGTTGAAATAAAGAAAATGAATAATAATATTCTTTTTTATCTGCGTAATTGAAAGCTTAATTTCATAGTTATGACTGCTTCCTCTGAATAATTCAGGTTTCAGGGTAAAACCTTTTGTCCTAATCATATTTTTCCCTGACTGAAATTTCAATAATTATCAAAGCACATGCTATGCTTTTATTTATATGCAATTTTAAACTATCTTGCAATAGATTGTCGTTAAAGAAAAAATAATGAATTCTCTCCTCCTGCTATTGTTGAAATAATAAAATTATGTATGACTTTTATTCTGAAAAAGCCTAACAATCAAGGTCGGTAATTTTGGATTTTTTTTTTCAAGAAATTTTAAATACTTGATCTAAATAAGACAATTATTGATTTTGGGTTAAAAAGTCAAAGGTCAAGATCAGAAATTCAAACATTCTGTTCTTTGTATAACACTTTCGTTTTCGAAAATCTGTAAAACCCTTTAAGCTTTTACAATGAAATTTCATATAACAACACCGTATGGCCTAAAGAAGTCCTTATTGATGTTGAGGTCAAAAGGTCAAAGGCCATAATTTATACATTACAATAACAGTTTCCCAATGTTAAAAAAATTTAGCATTCTCTGAGCTTTTTTTTCATTGAAATTTTATCTCAAAACTTCTTTCAGCTTTAAGAACACCCCAATTTTTCAAGGTGAAAAGGTAACATGTCAAGGTAAGAAATTCATATATTTTGTGTGTAAAAATTTTGTTTTCGGTCGACAATATCTTAAAAAAGCCTATGAGAGGCAAGCTACTGACAGATAAGTTGGTGATACAAGGATATTAACTGCTTTGTGTCACAGTTGATATTTAATTAAGTATTTTGTTAATAAATTATATTTGATTAGCGCGCATTGCTAATCAAACATAGCGCCGTCTGTGTGAATGAGTGCCATGTGTGAATGTTTTGTTTTGTCACGTGATATTTCTATTTTTAGTTTACAAACCGACCAGGTAAACGAATACGACCAGTGGACCAATGACAGACCACTATTTGATAATTAATATGCATGTATACTAACTTCGTGCACTACATAAGCGCTTATCCCGCCAAATCAAATAACTATTAGATTTCTACCTTTACGGTGTAAGAGGTCCAAACCTTCATGTTACTTTTGAAGTCATCGACTTTCACGATGCCTTGATAATTATGTTTCATATTTTATAATACTGGATACCTGGTAAGATTTATTTCTAGTGATGTAAATACTTATTAAACCAATTTCGATAATACGTAATTTATCTTTATTGGCAGCGACGTGAATTTTCATGTTGTGTAATTTGTAACTTTGTTTAATGTGTTGTATTTGTCTCTTGTTAATGTGTGTGTGTTGTGAGTGTGTTTTCTATATTTCTAGGTTTCATTTCTTTGTTATCCTCATAAAACCTCATAAATCCGAATCCAGCGTTATATTCTTTAACGATGACCCTGTGACATATGGCGCCCACGTTAATGATGTTACTGTGAGGGAAACCAGGGTCCAGTTCCTGGGACGAGGCCGAAACGCCACTCGCCAGTGCCGCTGCCAACGCCAAAATTCCAGACAGTAGGCCTACAATTTTCATTCTACATAATCATGACAAGTGAGTTTTATTCATGATTGTACTCAGTACGTGCTTCGAGTCCGTACGGAATCAGTGTACTTAATAAATATTTTACGCTAGCTAAACTACCCAGTAGTAGTAACAATTTCTAAGCCTGTTACTTGAGTCTACCTGAGTTCATTTCAGGACAGGTGTCCACTGTCCAGTGATCCGTAAACTAACTGCAATCTGTTTTGTGCTAGGAAAAGAATTTCGCGCTACAAGTTGTGAAAAGACCCTACCGCGGTGAAACTATCCATTCAGTGATTCATATCTTTGGCCAGTGAAAAATAAAATCTATCCAGATATATCTGTGCTATTAATTACTATTTATGTTCTGTGTCTTTGTGTTTTGTATTGTTTTGTATATGTCTGTGTATTATTTTATGTTTAATGTATCAGCTGTGTATAGTGTGTGAGGTTGCCGGCTTTGTGAATGTGTGCAAGGTGCGTGTTACTCATGTGTAAAAAGATCGGGCTCGACATTCATGTTTTCATTTGTTTTGGTTTTGAACTTCCGGAAGTGTAGAAAAAACGTGTTTGTCAAATGTTCGACATGTTTTGATAAACTCTTAGCTGCCAAACGCGTATGTTCAATATGGTAAACAATTTTTCTGTGCATTTTGAATGTCTGTGATGCATTGTTGTTCACTGTCAATGTTCTTTTGTCTGTCAATGTCATTGTCTGTGGTACGTTCTGTGGTATGTGTTAATCGTACAGTAGGTTTACAGTAGTTTGAAAATCATTCCCTGCGCGCGATCACATTTTCAATTACAGGATTACTAACCAAAGTACGGGACTTGAAACAGGACAAGGGTCAAAGCAGACAGGTATATTTGTACATATTTTCAGGTTTATTGTTTATGTTTGTACAGATTTTGAATGCGTGATTGTATGTAGACAGATGCGCTTTGCGATAAGTTTAATTTTGCTTGCGATTTGGTGTCAGTCTTCTGATCATCCTCAAATCAACATGGCATTTGGTGGTGATGAAACCATGGGTGAAAAAGATTTGCAAGAAATTATAGATCAAATTAATGCAGAACCACATTACAGGGTAATACCAAAGGAAGAGTATGACATGTTAAAATCACAGAAAATTCCTACTAGTACCCCTAAGGTTCAGCAAGATGTGAGTGAAGGTGCTATACCAAAATTACCACCCCTAGGTCAAGTACCATTCCCAAGTCATGTACCCTCACCAGGTTATTTACACCCACCAGGTCTTATGTCATCACCTAGGTTTTTTAACAGCTCTGCTCTGTTTCAGAATAACAACCCTACCCCTATTAAACTCCCAACTTTCAGTGGTAGTGAACAAACTCAAAAAGGAGAAGTGAGCTATGATGTATGGTCATATGAGGTTCGGTGTTTAAAGGGCCAATGGCCTGATCATGTTCTTTTGCAGCCAGTAAGAAGTTCTCTGAAGGACACAGCTAGGGAAATCCTGATTCCACTTGGAGAAAATGCAACTGTAGACAATATCCTTGCAAAGTTAGATGATTTTTATGGGAATGTTTGCACTCCTGAAAACATAATGCAGAAATTTTACTCTGATCATCAACAAGAAGGTGAGTCAAATGTTTCCTATGGGTCTAGGTTAGAACAGTGTATATCAAAGGCTGTAAAACTAGGTCATATTGATGTAAATGCCAAAGACGCAATGCTTAGATCAAAATTCTGGTCTGGATTGAAAAGTTCACAATTAAGAAATGCAACCAGACACAAATATGAGTCAGTGAAGGAATTTCATTCATTGTTAAGGGAAATAAGGCAGATTGAGCAGGAGGAAAAAATTTGAAGATTGTAAACACAGCCAGTAAGTCTAGTGTCACAATTTCAACAAATGTTGATGCTCTTTCAATTCAAAATTCTGAGATACAGAAAATGCAAAAACAACTTTCAGAATTATTGGTACAAATGAAAAAGCTTGACAATAGAATGAACAAGTTAGAGCAAAACAGTCAGTCAAATCAAGGAAGAAATTTTAATAGAACAGCTTCTTTTCAGACTCAGGGCAGAGGTTCTATTTATCAAAGAGGCAGAGGAAACTTTCCACAACAAAGCCAGAGATCACATCAGCAACAACAGAGTTCAAGACAGAATTATCAACATGTACAAAGAATGGGTAATTCTAATCCAGGTCAAGGTAATGCTTTAAACTAGAATCATCTTCTGTTGTGAGGCAAACAGAAGATGTCTACAAGAAAAGCCCTGCTATTACAACCAAGCCTCAAACTACCAACAATTTATTGTCCAGACTGATTGGTGAAGCCAATGATTCAGAGATTTTTGTAAATGGTGTCAAAACCAGAGCTCTAATTGATTCAGGTTCAATGGTTACTTGTATATCAGAAGATTTTCATCAGAGTTTGAACCAGTACCAGATTTACATAGTATTTCTGAATTTGGACTAACTGTACAAAGTGCCAATGGTGGTACATTACCATATAGTGGTTTCGTTGAATTGGAAATATGTGTACCTTGTTTTGGTAGCTCATCATATGCAATTCCAGCACTTGTTGTTCCTCAGACAAATACAACACATTAAACAAAGTTACAAATTACACAACATGAAAATTACGTATTATCGAAATTGGTTTAATAAGTATTTACATCACTAGAAATAAATCTTACCAGGTATCCAGTATTATAAAATATGAAACATAATTATCAAGGCATCGTGAAAGTCGATGACTTCAAAAGTAACATGAAGGTTTGGACCTCTTACACCGTAAAGGTAGAAATCTAATAGTTATTTGATTTGGCGGGATAAGCGCTTATGTAGTGCACGAAGTTAGTATACATGCATATTAATTATCAAATAGTGGTCTGTCATTGGTCCACTGGTCGGTTTGTAAACTAAAAATAGAAATATCACGTGACAAAACAAAACATTCACACATGGCACTCATTCACACAGACGGCGCTATGTTTGATTAGCAATGCCCGCTAATCAAATATGATTTATTAACAAAATATTTAATTAAATATCAACTGTGACATTTGTTTAAAGTCAACATAGCGAAATTCTATGATCGACAGAATGTCCTTGTCAGTAAATGCAATCTATCATTAAAGGACTTATCGCATGATTTTTCAAAAATCTTAATTTTATGAAAAATATTATCTACAACCTTGTTTATTAAAATTCTGAATACAATAAACGTTCTTGAAAGCATATTTTAAGAGATATTGAGAGTTGAAATTCAAATACGGCAATATGCATATTTCAGTCGGATTTCGGCGAAATACTGCTCTGACGTCATAGGCGACAATTCAGTGATAGAGAGATGAGGAGTTGCACACTATTTACGAAGTTATCGACGACAAATGCAGCTTAATTATGAAAAATGCTGAAAAAATTAATTCCTAACGTGATTTTTAATTACTATAGAAACATTAACTAGTTCTAAGGTATAAGAATTTTGAGATATTTTCGTTTTTTATTCCAAACATTTAGAATCTGTAGGTCTGATTACGGCAATGTTTCGTGATCGGAAAATTATTTTTCAAGACCGCCATCCTTTACAAAACATATGAAAGCATACTTGCAAAATTTAATATTATGTTAAAAAGGAAGAATAACAGAGTTATGTGATATTAAATGTGTGAATCAGATAAGTTAATACATGTGATAAAATGACAAATCAAATTGTATTGCGATGGCGAGTTTCTTCGTCTTCGCCGCGTCTCCCTCGCTATCGTCGCTGCTATTTTTACAATGTTAACGGATTTTTCAGATTATTTCTTGCTGACAATTCTAAAATATAAGGTTGGACATTAAATTTCATATCGATAAAATCAGTGATTTGGTCGTCCATAACGCAGAAAATTCAGGTTGCATCGCGTATATTTTAGTAAGATTTACGTGAAGAGCTGATCAGCCATTGTCGCCTTTGACGTCACAGGGTCACGTGATCGCTATCTAATTAACTTAGATTTTTAATTCAGGGGTTTTCATTTGAGTCAATAATTGGTTAATTACCGCGGTTTATCCGCATTAAAAACACAAAATTTATAAACTGTGGTCATAAGGAACGTTTTACGCTTTTAATTTCAAATAATTTAGAAACATGCGATAAGTCCTTTAAGTGGAATGTTGACTGACGTTTTTCATTCAAGATGTTAGGCCATTATTTTCATTCTGATTTGTCTAAGGATTTTTCCGTTTACCTGATCATGACAAGAAGCACACGGCGGGTGTGACCGTCAACAGGGGATGCTAACTCCTCCATGACAACTGATACGACCTGAAGTTTTTGGAGAGGTGTGATTTCTCTCTTCCCAATTTGTATTGTTTCAGTGGATATTTCATAGCACCATTCCCTTAGACCTAAATGACTCCTATTGATTTTGAGGTCAAAAGGTTAAAGGTCAAGGTCAAAAAATTCATAAATTGCAAAAAAAAAAGGTTTCCAGATTATAATATTCTCTTTGAGCTTTTTCAATGAATTAAGGTAAATTATTGGCAAACAAGTTGATGAAACAAGAATATCAGCAGTCTCGTTAAAGTCATCATTTCATAAGTTCTATTGTCAATACAATGACCTTGTCAGCAAATACAATTTATCATTGAGTCAAATGCTGACTGACGTTTTTCATACTAATTGTTAGGCCATTATATACACACTGAATTGTCGACGGATTTTTCCTGTTTTTTTCCCGATCATGACAAGGAGCACACGGCCGATATGACCGTTCGGAAGGGGATGCTCACTCCTCCATGGCACCTGATCCCACCTCTGATGTTTTGGAGGTCCGTGTTTGCTCTGCTCCTATTTTGTATTATTTAATGGACTTTTGAATACTGTTCGTTATCTCCATATATTTCATAATTGAAACCAAAGCGGTGGCATTAAGGTTTTCCAGAAAACTAATATTTTTGATGGTTCGGAAATATCGGATTTGAAGGTTTGGGCTACATATTTTAAAAATTCCACTGAAATACCATTGGAAACATTGCATTGAAAAATGAGTGATTGTCAATTGTAAAATAAATATATATTTAAATGAAAATCTAAGATAGTTGTAATTTAGTTTCGCCCTATATTTCAGGTATATGAATTACTCAGGGCTTTTAGATTAATGATATCATAAATTGATATGTCTTTAATCTAAGTTTAAAGAAACCTAAGACCCAATGTGTGAGGCCTTCATTTTGATAGGAATTTTTAAACAACATTCAGAGCTTCAGAGAGATCTACACCTTCTAAATTAGAATTATGAAAGCAATAGTGCACATATATGTACCTTTCGTGTCATACCCCCTCCTTGATAGTATTATTAGTCTGTGGAGCAATCTAAATGCTTCTCTTTGTGAATTTTCATGCAACCATACATATTAAATTTTAAACTCTCATACATGCTTTGAGCTTTCTGCCTCACAATCATTACTTTTAAAAGGAATGCTTTTTTCTGCATTCATTTTATCTTTGTGTGTTTGTAGTTGCTATGCTAGAAAGTCTTCTGTTCAGGTTTTTTTTTTCATTATTTCTTTTATGTTAAGAATTTTCTTCTTCTTTTTTTTTAATTTTTGAATCATTTGAACAGTTTACTGGATCTGGTGTCTAAGTGGAAAGCACAATATTTAACACGATTACATATTTTTGTTTCCACATATACACAAGATCCTATGGATTTTTTTCTCACTTAGTTAGTAAAGTAATGATATTCAAGCTAGTATTGAAATATATTAAGTCCAAAAAAATTATTTGAGACTAAAATCATTCCGTTATATTCAATTCTTTATAATATCTTTAATATTTCATTTGGAATTTTAGCAACAGCTTTTCAGTAAGGGAAATGTGTGTCAAGACTACTGATTCTTTATTCTACTGAATATTTTAAATTGACATATGATTTTGAAGAATTTCCTCCTTAATAAGGGAGCTATGGGTATAAGTTAGATTACCACTTGCAGAATTAAATTCCAATTCCTCTAAAATACATCTAAGGAAATAAACCTTAAAAAGACAATGTCGTTTGCAGTGACGCCGCGAGATGTTCATGTTAATTAAGATTTCAAGAATAACACATGAATATGATTGATTCATTCGAAAATGGTGAAAAGAAACAACACAACACTACTATGGAGGGAGGGGGTTAACAGAAATGGACCTAAGTCTCAAATATTTGTTATTTTTTAATTTGTTAATTTCCATTGGCATAATACAAAATACTTGCATTCAGCTTGTATACAGACAGCTTTTATTTTATAGAAAAAAATTGTACTTGATACTTGTATATGTTATAGTTTTTTATATCTGTTTAGAGTGTCATATAGGTTCGATAGGCCGAATGTTTGTATTTATTATGATACGTTTCACCATGATAAATTAATTACTTGCTAACTTTCATGTACAGAGAGACTCAAATAACAAAAAATTACAGGAAAATACATACAATCAAATTTTCCCCACTTCTATTTTGTGGATTGGTTTTATCCTGAAAATACACAAATATGATTTTTTTTCCATTTGATAGGCATGCATGGTGTAATTTTCCCATTGTTCTTAAAAATACCTGCGCAACATTCATTCTTTAAAGGTTATGGCTAAACAATTATCGGTATGTAACAGGAAAGGAGAAAATGTATGGGCCGGGACCCCTGCATCACTAGTCAGGTGCTCTACCGACTGAGCTACCCAGGCCGATATCCACGGCCAAAACCATAACATTCCTCCCTCCTTAAATTGTCTTTGCCCCAGGCAGGACTTTCACCTGTAAGTCCAGGGGTGGTCAACGGTACCAAATCTGTAACAAGAAAGTAGAAAATGTATGGCTGGACCGTGACCCTTG